AAAAAAAAAAAAAAAAAAAAAAAAAAAAAACCTTTGCTTTCATCTTCATCCTCATCCTTACATTCTTGTTCATCTTCATCATCTCTCTTTTTCCTTTTTTTTTTTAATTTATTTTCCTCTTATTTCTTTATATGTGATCACATGCTATATTTGGAATATTTGGAATCAATAAAATATGGGTCGAAATAAATTTGAAACTAATTGTCTAGCAGATCCATATAGAACACGCCGTGATTGGTTACTTGATTTGTTTCTACTTGTTTTGTTCTACGTAGATAATATCTAATTTTGAAATGCTTAAGAATAAGACGGCAAATGTTGAGGATAAAGGTTAGTTTTGATCTATTATAGATTATCATCGGTCTGATAGGGGTAGGTTTTCATAATGGAATGTTTTGTTTATCTCTCCAACAAATGTGGGATATTTAACTCTATCTTTTTTTTTCATCTATTAAAATTTTATTTTTTCAAATATTTATAAAAGTTCGAATTTATTGCACCTCATGAACTTAAAGTTTTATGTTTCACGATGATTTGATTTCATCATGACTAAATTTCTCTCGGGCTTTCTTGATGTAATTTCTCATTCTCAAACCACGCTTGTAAACTAATGAACTTTGATTTCCCCGATCAACTCTTGAACATCAAACACCAAAGTTTTCTATTTAATTTTTTTTTTACTCTAGATTTAATTACTTAAAATAAATTTGATATGATTTGTTTGTTTAATTGAGAAAGAAATTAGATTAAAAATTTAATCTTCAAAATAATTTTTACAATAAAAAAAATGCTCTTTTAGAAATTAAAATAAAATTGAAAGGAATAAAATAATGAAAAAACAAAAATCAATGATCAATTTCAACGGCGTGGATCGAGAGTCGCTGTCACGTCTTCTAGAAGACGAGATTGAGATCTAAGTGCCACCTTACATTAAATTAAATTATATAGCGAAAATAAAAGACAAAAAAATAAAAAAAATAAAAAACTTAACCAACTTTACCTTTCTAATTTAAGTCCATTATTTTTAAATGTTTGAATTTAATATTTTAAAAATATTTTTTACCAATTTAATAATATAAAGAGGTGGAGAGTGAATCTGCCACCATACTAACTTAGTAGTAATTGAGATTTTCTTTTTTATTGAGTAAATTTTTAATATTTAGAATTTATTAAATAATTTAAGAATAACGAGAGGAGAAGAGAATTAAATTTTTTTTTATAAGAGTGGAAATTTCTCCTTACGATTAAAAAAAAACGTTACAAAATTTATTGCGTTATATATATATATATATATTTTAAAGTCAACATCAAGAGATAGAGGGAATATTGAAAAAAAAAATGAAGCATGAAAATTTTAATAAATAATGTTTAAATCATGAAGGGCCACCTGTCATTCGCCCACATCCGATGTACCGCGTGTGTTTGCACGCGCACGCGCTTTTTTGAAAATTACACCATAGAAAGCGCGCGCGTGTTTCGCTCTCTCTCCTCACCGCGTGTTTTTTTCTATTATTTCTAAGGTCGGTGATTCCGGACGCTGTTCGATAAAAAAGAATATGTTTAGCAAATTAATCATGTAATTACAAAACATTTAAATCAGTAATTTGATTTTTGCTGAAAAAAATTAATTAATTTAATCCACCATCTACTGATCCTCTCTGTCTCTCTATTTTCTCTATTAATTCTTCTCTCCCCCCCTTCATTCGCCCGACCATTACATTTCATCCTCTCTGCCTCAGAAAAATGGTGGAATAGTTTCCAACTTTATTGTCTTCTTTTCTAGATCTGTTCTTTCCAAGGTAAGCCATGGCGCTATCGCTTATTGTTGGCTGTTTAGATCGCGTAGATCCCCTTCCATGTCCTCTCGTTGTTTCTTTCTTTGGTTCTTACATTCAACATGTTTTAGCTTTCTTGCGCCTTCAATGCTCTAGTTTCTGGTTTCTGCTTGCTTTTTCGTTTATGTGTGTTTTTATTGTAGATCTAATTTGGTTTTTAGCAAACTGTGGTTCCTTGTAGCTTTTTTGCTTCGCATTGGTGTCTGATTTATTCGTTTTTGTGTCATTTGAATTTAGATCTGGTGGAGTTTGTTTGAATTGTTATTGTTTTTCGTTGTGTGTGAATGAATGATGTTATCTTTTCATTAAACTTTACGTGATTTTTGGATTTTGTTTACGCGGGTAATTTATGTTTTTGTTCTGTGTTCTGGATCGACCTTGTTAGTATGGACGTACTGCTAAATCATTGGTTGATATGTTTTAATGTGTTTTGAAGTTGATTTATCCATCCTCCTTGTCTATTTCTCCATTAATGTGAGTGACTCCTTGCTGTAATTGTGTCGTGAATTATGGCTGAATTTTCTTTTTTGAATATTTTTCTTAGTGCTCTAGCCAGATCTATGTCTAGTTTCTCTCAAGTTGAATTTCTGTTTTTCTGGGACTTTGAATTGTTTGCTTGACGTTGATGTTTGAACGACTTCATGGGACCAAGTTTCACTTTTCATAATATCTTTTGCTAGTATGAATGCAGGTGTCAATGATCTTTGTGTATTCAACTAATTAATACTTAGTTTATTTTATTTTAAATTTCTAATCTGTCTTTTCCCTTTCCATTCTCAGGTGCAAACTCTATAGGACACAACTTTACAAATAGAAATGGCTATAGGGAAGTATTCGAGAATAGATAACCGAAGATCTTCGTCGAGTTACTGCTCTACAGTGACCATTGTTGTATTCGTTGCTTTGTGCTTGGTTGGGATATGGATGTTAACATCATCATCTGTAGTTCCGGTTCAAAATATTGATGTGCCACAGGAGAACAAAAATATTGCAAAAAGTCAAGTGGTTGAGACCAATGAGGCCAACACTCAGCCTTTTGAAGATAATCCAGGAGATTTGCCTGATAATGTAAGGAAAGGGGATGACAATGAAGGTTCTAATCAGCAGGAAAGCCAGGATGAGAAGCCTGAAGAGAAGCCCGAAGAGAAGCCCGAAGAGAAGCCCGAAGAGAAGCCAGAAGAGAAGCCTGAAGAGAAGCCTGAAGAGAAGCCTGAAGAGAAGCCAGAAGAGAAGCCGGAAGAGAAGCCGGAAGAGAAGCCAGAAGAGAAGCCAGAAGAGAAGCCAGAAGAGAAGCCTGAAGAGAAGCCTGAAGAGAAGCCAGATGAACAGAATGGGGACAAGAATGGAGGGAATGAAGAAACTAAACCAGACGATGGAAGTAAAACAGAAAATGGTGATTCTAAGGAGGAAAATGGAGAACCAGGTTCTGAGTCTAAGCCAGAGGCTGGTGACAATGGATCCGGTGGACAAGGAGATCCTGAGGAGAATTCTAATGAGAAACAACCAAATTCAAATGATACAGAAGAGAACAGCAAAGACGACAAAAAAGCAGATGACTCAAATGATACTAAAGATGGAGAAAACGGTGACAGAAAGGAAGAGGAGAATGCAAAGTTAAATGAAAATAACCAATCCAAAAACCTGACTTCTGGTGAGGTGTTTCCTTCCGGTGCTCAGTCGGAGCTTTTGAACGAAACATCAACACAAAATGGGGCATGGTCAACTCAGGCAGCAGAGTCGAAGAATGAAAAAGAGACTCAAAGATCTTCCACGAAACAATCCGGGTATGAGTGGAAAATTTGCAATGTTACTGCTGGATCAGATTACATTCCTTGCCTCGACAATTTGCAAGCAATTAGGAGTCTTCGAAGTACAAAACATTATGAACATCGAGAAAGGCATTGTCCTGAAGAACCTCCTACCTGCCTTGTTTCACTTCCAGAGGGCTATAAACGCCCAATTACATGGCCAACTAGCAGGGAAAAGGTTAAAAAGATTTAATATCTTTACTTCTGAAAATACGTTTTATGTTATAAGTTCAGTTTTTGAATTGTTTTTTTTTTTTCCCTTCATTCTTTGATTGTCTAATTGAGTGTGTTTCTGCAGATTTGGTACTATAATGTTCCCCACACAAAACTTGCTGAAGTTAAGGGGCATCAGAATTGGGTAAAAGTTTCTGGTGAGTACTTAACGTTTCCTGGTGGTGGGACCCAGTTCAAGCACGGTGCTCTTCACTACATTGACTTCATACAAGAGGTAACATTCTTCTCCTTGAGCTCCTGTTAGTGTAATATGTTACATGCCCATTTGGTTTGCACATTAGCATCTCCATCATTGGTGGTTGTGATAGTGTATCTGTATACTTTTCAGATCTTGCATTGCAATGATGATGCCGTGTCTTTTATCTAATCTGCTTTCTCCACCACTTGCTTCTTTATTTAACTCATTCAAGCTAATTAATTGCATTCTTGATGGAAGTCACTCAGGGATATTGATCAACCTCACTATTAGCCGAGCAAATCCCCACACCCCACCTTTCTCTGATTTTACACAAATAGGTGCAATTTATAACATTACCAAACACAAAAAAAAATTCTTAGTAACATTTGGTAGCTAATAAATTTATTTTCTACTTTTGGCAAAATTATTTCTCGTTGTGTAACATTTCTTCATTAATTCTATTGTTATTGATGCTTTGGATTGGAGGAAATTTTATTGTATGATATTGATAATTGACCAGTGAAGCTAATGGTGTGCTTGTTTATATTTGTCGTTCGGGCCTGTTATTTTCCTTGTACTTAGTTGTAAAATCTTTTTTGAGTGAATTTGTAAATGTACACAATTTCACGCAATCTAAAAATAGATGAGGATGACTACAGTTTTGTGGACGTATTGAACTGAAGAACAATGCTTTGTGATTTATGCTAAACAAATTTTCTTACTGTGCAGTCTGTCAGTGATATTGCTTGGGGAAAACGATCACGTGTAGTTCTGGATGTTGGATGTGGAGTGGCAAGCTTTGGAGGATTTCTTTTTGAAAGAGATGTACTAACCATGTCATTGGCCCCAAAAGATGAACACGAAGCACAAGTCCAGTTTGCACTTGAGAGGGGAATTCCTGCCATTTCTGCTGTTATGGGCACGAAAAGACTTCCCTACCCCGGAAGAGTTTTCGATGTTGTCCATTGTGCTCGTTGTAGAGTACCATGGCACATAGAAGGTAATGTGATCATTAATACGTTTGTTGGATAAATTTCTATTGTTTGGAACCGACTTCAATTTCATGTAGTGAACAGACTTCAATTTCATCAGGTCGGTGACTGAATTTAACCATTTTATCAATGGCTTGAGTTTCAATATTCACTTCTGAAGAAACTGTGCAGGTGGCAAACTTCTGTTGGAGCTGAATCGTTTGTTGCGGCCTGGTGGCTTCTTTGTGTGGTCTGCTACACCAGTCTATCATAAGAATGCTGAAGATGCTGGAATATGGAATGGTTGGCCATCTCTAAAACCCTCATGATCCTTTATCAATTTTAGTTGTAAATGTATATGTAAAACTAGAGATCTTCAAATTTAGAGTCCTAATAGCTTTGCATCTTGTGGAACTATTTGCAGCCATGACAGAACTGACGAAAGCTATGTGCTGGGAACTTGTATCAATTAACAAGGATAAGGTGAATGGCGTTAGTGCAGCCATATATAGGAAACCTACTAATAATGATTGCTATGAGCAGAGATCTGAAAAGGAGCCGCCTGTCTGCCCGGATTCAGATGATCCAAATGCTGCCTGGTACTTATCTCTTATAATTTTAATTACTCCAGTTAAGAAATGTGTACTTCCATACTTACTCCAGTTAAGAAATGCGTACTTCCATACTATCCAAGATCCAATTACTATGAAAAGGATTCAGCAAATATTGAGCCTCTAGTCCAGAATCATTCCCCCTCATATATGCGTTCTTGTTTGTTCAATTCCTTATTTCTAAGTAAAGCTTAGACCAAATGTACTTGTAATTTTCTTTCTAAAATAGGTAAGAAAAGTTTATAGCTTTGTTGCTACTACAACTGAATTTGTTCAAACCATCTGCAGGAATGTGCCACTCGAGGCATGCATGCACAAAATCTCGACAAATGAATCAGAACGTGGTTCTAAATGGCCCGAACAATGGCCAGCGAGATTGGAGAAACCACCATACTGGATGTTGGATTCTCAGGTTGGAGTTTATGGAAGAGCTGCTCCTCAGGATTTTACTGCAGATCATGACCACTGGAATCGTGTCGTGACAAAGTCATATCTAACTGGCATGGGAATTGACTGGTCAACGGTGCGGAATGTGATGGACATGAGAGCTGTCTATGGAGGGTAAGATTCTCCTCCCCTCACAGGAAATATACTTCAAAACAGCTATCATATTTCTGTCGCTTGGCAGTAAATCTTATCAGTTAGTTTATATCTGGTTCTGGAGTCTTCTACAGTTAGAGTTGTGTGTAATTTTATAATTATTAGAGTTTGAAAGAGTTTACTACGTATAGGGTATAGAAAAGATGAGTGTCACTACCGGTAAATCTGTTCTTCAAATGTTGGGGCATAGGGTTGAGTAAATATATGAACGGTTCTTCATTTTCTCACAGATTTGCTGCTGCATTGAAAGATTTGAAAGTGTGGGTCATGAACGTAATCCCAATAGACTCAGCTGATACTCTCCCAATTATCTACGAACGAGGTTTGTTCGGTATATATCACGATTGGTGTGAATCATTCAACACCTACCCCCGTTCGTATGACCTTCTTCACGCAGATCATCTTTTCTCCAAGGTCAAAAAGAGGTAAAGCTTACTGCTTATTATAAACAACATCATTTATCACTCCTTTACTGAACTTTTGCTAATGCTTTACTCCATCGATCCACGTACGCAGATGCAATCTAGCAGCTTTAGTTGCAGAGACGGACCGAATCCTCAGGCCAGAAGGGAAGCTCATTGTCAGGGACAACGCGGAAACAGTGAACGAGCTTGAAAACATGTTCAAGTCAATGAAATGGGAGGTTCGGTTTACTTACTTCAAAGACAATGAAGGATTGCTATGCGTTCAGAAGTCAATGTGGCGACCAAGTGAGTCTGAAACACTCCAATATGCTATTGGTTAGAGCCGATGGGTGGGTGTCTTGATTGTCATTCAACTGCACCATCATCTCACTCTACTTGAATTAGATGCCAAAGGAGGAGGGGAAAGGTTAGGTCATATTCTTTTTTTGGTTTGGTTATTCAAAGTTTTCAATTTCATGGGAATGCTACTTCTTCCTAATTAGGCAGTGTATCATCATCATCATCATCATCTCATCCAAGGCCGTTGAGTTAAATTCATTTTATTCCTTCTTCAAAGGCTCAGTTTTCTCTGTACTCTATCATCTGATACTCGAATAGTTATTAATGAAAAATCACATACATTCTTGCATACACATGTATTTTCATTCTATCAGTTAAGGATAATTACACATTTTAGTTCTCTTTGTAATAGTTATGAAGCCGGGCCTAAGATAGATAAATGACATTTATTTTTAGTTGAGTTGGTTTCTGTTAGGCATGTGAGTGTCTTCAAAATTTGTTGACTATGTAAGCTGAATTAGACCGGACAAGTCACATGTCCATTTCGTTGTTTAAGGTAACTTCTGAACTAATTTTAAATTTTCTTAAATATTTGAATTTTTAAAATCAATATGTAAAGTTGTCAACTACCTTACCTTAACTCTAAAGAAATTAAGAATGCTTTCACTTTTAGTGCAAACTATCTTAATTTTAATTCTAATGCTAAAATTACGGAAATTGTTTGACTTTCATTTTTCTAATGCTATAAATATTGGATTCTGATTTTAATTGTTAAAATAATATTCTTGTCTAGATTTATTTACTTTCATTTATTTAAACTTAATCCTTCTATTTTTAACCACTCTTAAACTTAGTTTTTTAAAATTAATTTCTTTTCGTAGATATTAATTAAATTTACTAATAACTTTTATGAAAATAAAAATACTTATGCATATATTTCCAAAGAATACTTTTTTATTTGTTTTTAAAAAGTAATAAACTAATAACATCAACGGCATAGAAATTAAAATTGGACACTTAAAAATATAAATATATATATATTATTGATCGTGTTTAAATATTTAATCACTAAAAAAATTAAATTACTACAAATTTATTTGTTTTATTTTATAATTTTGAAAATTATAACAAAAAAAATATTGAAGTGAGGTTTGATAATGATAGTATATAGGAGAAATGTTCTTATAAATATTCATTATAAATTATAACTATTAAACAATACCATAAATACCCATTATGGGTTGGAACTCTCCCAATCCCAACTGTTGTGCCAACACCCAACGGTCATTTTGTCGAGGGTATTTTTTGTATATAAAAAATACTCACGTTTTTCTTAAATGCTTTTTAACTACTAATTAATTATTATAATTTAATATTTAGTCTTAATTTATTCTCACTTTTTTTTAAGTTCAATCATGTGCTATTTTAACAGTTTCTAAATTATTTTAAAATAGGTTTTAATAATATTCTTAATATTTGTTAAAATTTTATTTTAAATTTGTTTCAAAATGATTCTTTCATTATTTTTTAATTAAAATAATTAATTTGACTCGTAGGTTCCATATACTTAATTTCATTTTCAAAATTTCGCTTATTTTTAGGATTATTTTAAAACAATCATTTTTATTAATTTTATTATTAAAAGAAAGATAAAAAAAAAAAAAAAGAGTATTAATGAACTTTTAAAAGTTATTAATAGTTTTCATTTTTAATTTTTTTAAAAAAGTTTGAATGTATTAATAAAGTTTTAAAAGTATTATTATTATTTTTTTCTAACAAAATACTTACCCTTTCCTTAAAAAAAGAAAAAACACATGTATTTCTACTATTTTTATTTTTTTAAAAGTTTTAAAAGTATTAATTACTTTATGGGTATTTTTTATATAATATACCAAATTCAAAAATATTTTATATAATTTAACGAAGAAAATTAATTACTATCTCATATCAAAATATCATTGTATATGTCTAATTAGACATGCTCATGCTTTACAATAGGTTCAGAGTTTACTCATTAAAAAGGGGAAATTTCTGGCTTTTACTCCCATTTGAAGATGGGTACACGCATTAACAACCAGCCTTTTGCTTAAAGTCTGAGGTGATTTATATCGCATATTCAAATTCCCTTTTGGCCCTCTTCTCTGTTTGTATCTGTTTCCATTGCAGGCCATCAAAAGCTCTCTTTTCTCTCTTCTGCTCTCTGTGAGTTTCTAATACTGCTTGTTCTTAGATGTAACCCTTTAATTATGCTTTGATTTGAACTCAACGCGCCTGTTTTCTTCTATTCACTGCTCTTTGGACCTCCATGGCTTGATTTTTCTTCTGGGTAATGCTCAGTTTAGCTTGGATACGGCGCTTTGAGTTCAATTCACTCCTTACCCATTGTTTTGATTCAGCAGCCAAAGTACCCAATTGCGTTTTCCCCACATTTAGTTACTAATTTCATGTTCTCTGCTTCAATCATGTGACTTATGAGATCCCATGTTGGTTGGGGAGGAGAACGAAGCATTCTCTATGAGGGTGTGGAAACCTCTCCGTAGTAGACCGTGTTTTAAAACCTTGAGAGGAAGCTTGGAAGAGAAACCCCAAATAGGACAATATCTGCTAGCGGTGGGCTTAAATTGTTGCAAATTGTATCAGAGCCAGACACTGCGCCAACGAGGAGGCTAAGCCTTGAAGGGGTGGACTTGAGAGGGTGTGCCAGCAAGAACGCTGGCCCTGAAGGGGGTGGATTGTGAGATCCCACATCGGTAAGGGAGGAGCCTTGAAGGGGGTGGACACGAGACGGTGTGCCAGCAAGGACGCTGGGACCCAAAAGGGGGGAGGTGAATTGTGAGATCCCACATCGGCTGTGGAGGAGCCCTGAAGGGGGTGGACATGAGGCGGTGTGCCAGCAAGGATGCTGGGCCCGAAGGGGGGTGAATTGTGAGATCCCACATAGGTTGGGGCAGAGAATGAAACACTCTTTATAAGGGTGTGGAAACTTCTCCCTAGAAGACGCGTTTTTAAACCTTGAGGGGGAGCCCGAAAGGAAAAACCCAAAAAGGACAATATCTGCTAGCGGTGGGTTTGGACGGTTACAAATGGTATCAGAGCTAGATATCGGGCGATGTGCCGCGAGGAGGCTGAGCCTCAAAGGGGGGTGGACTTGAGGCGGTGTGCCAGCAAGGACATTAGACCTCGAAGGTGGGTGGATTGTGAGATCCCACATCGGTTGGAGAGGAGAATGAAATATTCGTTATAAGGGTGTGGAAACCTCTCCCTAGCAGACGCGTTTTAAAAACTTTGAGAGGAAGCCCGGAAGGGAAAATCCAAAGAAGACAATATCTACTAGCTGTGGACACGACCCTTTTTCCTTCTAGCATCGATGAATCGAGCACGGTCCTTGCTTATGGGATAATCATAGATTCTCAATGTTTGGCTTAGGACGTTAGAATGATTTGTTAGCTGACTTGATAATCAAAATGTGGTATTTGAGTATTCAAACTCTAAAATATTTGGGATGCTAAACATGTAGATGTTGTCATATTGCTTTGAAGGATTCAAGTTCTGAGAAAAACTACTTTCTCCTTAAATGATAACGTGCTCGAACATTTTTGTAGGCAGACGAATAAATGGATTCAAATCGTCATCGTAAAATCGATTATCGACGTATTGCCGATAATTTCACCTCATTGGATCAGGTTCTTTCTTTTATCCTAACTACTTAATTCCTGTGTAAAAGCATGCTGAACAGTCCATACTACGTCTACTTCGTATCGTTTTTCGGTTTTTCTACCATTTCCCATGAAAATTATGTTCAAGAACAAATGATCCAGCTGACATTCACTCGAGCACACATTTCGGTCAGGTTATATCTGCATTGAGACACGAAGGTCTTGAATCATCGAACTTAATTCTCGGTATCGACTTTACGAAGAGCAACGAGTGGACAGGTGAATATTTCTTTACTTGATAATCATTATGAAGGTTATGAATGCTTCCATAGATTGCTAGAGGATATATGTCACTGACTGCAGGCAGGCGTTGTTTTGGAAGAAGAAGTCTGCATTCAATTAGCAGCACACCCAATCCATATGAGCAAGCAATATCTATAATTGGTCAGACATTGTCTCCTTTTGATGATGATGGTTTGATACCTTGTTTTGGCTTTGGCGATGGTTAGTATTAGTTTGTTTTTTAGATTCTTCATTGAAGTGTGAGTAACCACCTTATTTTCGAGTTCTTTTTTCTGAAGCATCGACACGTGATCAGCACGTATTCAGCTTTTATCCCGATCACAGGCCATGTAAAGGGTTCGAGGAAGCTCTTTTTCGGTATCGAGAAATTCTGCCATACCTGAATTTATCAGGTTCATTTGAACTTTTTAGTTTACTTTTTATTTTGCTATGATCATAATGAAGAGCTAGTTTTTAGTATCCATTTGTGATAATTTCTGTGGCTACTCTCTTCTTCCTTCGGTTCTTTCGTTTCATTCTCGTTTCGTTCTCATTTCGTTCTCTATTGTTTATATGGATGAGTGAGGAAACCGAAGATAGTAAGACTGTGAGATCCCACGTTGGTAGGAGAGGGGAACGGAGGAGTCCTTATAAGAGTGTGGAAACCTCTCCCTAGCATACGTGTTTTAAAACAATGAGGCTGACGGCGACATGTAAGGGGCCAATGCGGACAATATCTGCTATCGATGAGCTTGGATTGTTACAAATAGTATCATATTGTGAGATTTCACATTGGTTGGAGAGGGGAACGAAGCATTCCTTATAAGGGTGTGGAATCCACTCCTTAGCATACACGTTTTAAAATCATGAGGTTGACGGTGATATGTAACGGGCAAAAGCGGACACTATCTTCTAGTGATGGGCTTGGACTGTTACAAATGGTATTAGAGCCAGTCATTGGACTGTGCGAGACATTGGTCAGAGTAGAGTTAGACCCTCTCCATAGTAGACCCATTCTAAAAACCTTGAGAGAAGGCTCAAAAGGGAAACCCCAAAGAGGACAATATGTGCTAGCAGTAGAATTGAGAGCCATTACAAATGGTATCAAAACCTGAGTAGTGTGCTAGCGAGGACGTGGGCCCCCAAGGGGGGTGGATTGTGAGATCCCACGAAGCCATTCGTTATAAAGTTGTGGATACCTCTCCCTAATAGACACGTTTTAAAAACCATGAGACGTGATACGTAACCGATTCTTTTCATTGAGATTGACAATGTAATTTTCTTCTGCCCAAGTTATAAATGTTCTAACGATGAACTGAAGCTTATTTGCAGGTCCAACCTCTTTTGCTCCTGTCATTGATTCTGCTATTAGCATTGTTGAGAAAAGCAATTGGCAGTATCATGTCCTTGTTATTGTTGCAGATGGACAGGTTGTTGGATGTGCTCTGTTCTCATGTCTGTTTTATTCTCTTAATGCCTAACGTTGTATGCTATTGAACAGGTTACGAGAAATCCCGACACGCCACCTGGAAGATTAAGTTATCAAGAGCAGGCAACCATAAACTCCATTGTTGCTGCTAGGTAAAACATTAACTTTTATAAAGTTTGGTAGCTTTTGTGCTCGAAGTCTCATAACGTTCGAATCACCAGCCAGTATCCTCTATCGATCATTCTAGTCGGGGTAGGGGATGGACCGTGGGATGCTATGCAGAAATTTGATGATAACATCCCTCGGCGCGCATTTGATAATTTCCAGGTATTTTCATTGAATCTACTTGCTTGGTTGTTCTTAATTTTCTTGGAGTTCTGAATGCAACGTTTGGTTTTGGTTAGCTGCGATGGTTTTTGTGAGATCTCACATCGGTTGGAGAGGGGAACAAAATATTTCTTATAAGGGTGTGGAAACCTCTCCCTAATAGACGCGTTTAAAAATCGTAAGGTTAACGGTGGTACGTAGTGGGGCTAAAACAGACAATATCTGCTAGTGGTGGGTTTGGGCTATTACAAATGGTATTAGAGCCAGACATTGGGTTGTGTGCCAGCAAGGACATTGCACCCCCGGAGGGTGGATTGTGAGATCCCACATCGGTTGGAGAGGGGAACGAAGCATTCCTTATAAGGGTGTGGAAACCTCTCCCTAGTAGACGCGTTTTAAAACCTTGAAAGGAAGTTCTAGAAGGAAAAGCCCAAAAAGGACAATATGTCTGTTAGGGGTGAGCTTGGACTGTTACAAATGGTATTAGAGCCAAGCACTGGATGGTGGTGGTGTGCGCCAGTGAGGACATTGGCCTCCAAGAGAGTGGATTATGAGATCTCACATTGGTTGAGAGGAACATTCGGTATAAGAGTGTGGAAACCGCTCCTTAGTAAACGCATTTTAAAACCTTGAGGGGAAGCTCAGAAGGGAAAGCCCAAAGAGGACAATAATTGCCAACATGGGCTTGAACTGTTACAAATGATGGACTGTGAGATCCTACGTTGGTTGGAGAGGAGAACGAAACATTTCTTATAAGAGTGTGGAAACCTCTTCTTGGTAGACGCATTTTAAAACCTCGAGGGGAAGTTCTTGAAGGGAAAGCCGAAAGAGGACTATCTAGTAGCGGTGAGCTTGGACTGTTACAGTTTTATTGTCAAGTACGTAACTTAACTTTATATCGGCTTCTCTGTATTGGTCCAGTTTGTAAACTTCACAAAAATCATGTCGGAGAGCAAAGAAGCGTCAAAGAAGGAGGCAGCATTTGCCCTGGCTGCGCTCATGGAAATTCCATTTCAATACAGAGCCACCCTCTCTGTGCAGGGTTCAAAGTAAGCCCAGAATTTCAATTCCAAGTGAATTTACAGTTCCTGTTTTGGATTTGCAAAAATGACAGTGAGTATCATGCAGGAGAGAATCTGTGTATGCAAAAAGTGCAGGGCCGCTTCCTCCTCCTCCTGAAGTCATCAATCATGACAATGCTGAAAACCAGAGTTCCTCATCCGAATTGGTAACTTCGTTTTCATTTTAGATCCCACGTTGGTGAGAGAAGGGAACGAAGCATTTCTTATAAGGGTGTGGAAATCTCTCCCTAACTGAGGTTGACGGCGAAAGCAGATATTATCTGTTAGCAGTGGGCTTGGACTGTTATAAAGGGTATCAGAGCCAAACACCGGGTGGTGTGTCAGCGAGGACACTGGCCCCTAAGGGGTAGATTGTGAGATCCCACATTGGTTGGAGAGGGGAACGAAGCATTCCTTATAAGGATGTGGAAACCTCTCCCTACTAGATACGTTTGACACTGTGAGGTTGATGACGATGGGTAATGGGCCAAAACGGACAATATCTGCTAATGGTGAGCTTGAGCTGTTACAAATGGGTATCAAAGCCAAACACTAGGCGGTGTGCCAACGAGGACACTAGGCCTCCAAGGGGGTGAATTGTGAGATCCCACGTTGGTTGGAGAGGGGAACAAAACATTTCTTATGAGGGCGTGGAAACCTCTCCCTACTAGACGCGTTTTAAAACCGTGAGGCTGACGGCGGTACGTAACAAACTAAAACGGACAATATCTGTTAGCGGTGTGCTTTAAGGGACGTTGATGGAGAGATAAATGAGGGAGATGAAGGGAGAGGTTAAAACGGCGTACAATTTAGAGCCTGTTTGGAATGACTTTGTAAGTACGTGGCCTCGTTATTATAAAAAAAATTTAATTCAATTTCTGTTGTTCAAGGTCTGCCCCATCTGCCTGACAAACCCAAAGGATATGGCATTTGCATGTGGTCATACAGTAAGTTCTCTACCATGCAACTTTCTCACACTGCCAATACTTTGACTAATATTTTCTAATGAAACGATATCGTATTACCCGTCCGAGACACTCACGAATATCTGCTCACTATTCCCTCGCTGTATTCTTACCAGACCTGCAAAGACTGTGGGGTAACCATCTCAACATGCCCACTGTGTCGAGAACCTATAACGATGCGCTTGAGACTATATGCCTAAGTCATCAAACAACTTCCTGCAGCTGTGTCTACGCAATACCAAGTTGTAAAAACGATACCCGGTTCGAGATTACTTTGCTTTTTGATTCGATTATAGATTATAAAAACTTGTTCATCTACTTGTATAAGTCTTATATTTACTATAGATTTTCAAACGAGTTAGATTTCTATCCATCCTCAACTATCACAGCCTAAGCCTACCGCTAACGTATATTGTCCTCTTTGGACTTTCCTTTTCAAGCTTCCCCCTTAATGTTTTTAAAACGTGTCTATTAGGAAGAGTTCTCCACACCCTTGTAAAAAATGTTTCGTTTTCCTCTTCGGCCGATGTGAGATCTCACGTAAACTACGTCGTCTGTGTTTATACACTAAAAACAAAACAAATTGAACAGTACAAGTAGGCTTAAAATGGCTTTGGTAAAAGGGCATTATATAGCAGCAGAAGAATGGGCAAAACACAGAGAATATGAATAAGAACAAAGTAAGAAAAAAGACAAAGGGTTTATAATGAAATTTCAAATGGAATTGGTGGAAGGTGAAGATCGCAGCCAATGAACAAAGCTTTGTAGTGTAGCAACATCAGCTCTGTAATGTTTTTGTGTAAACTCCAAAAGATCTGACCATGTGAAATCAGGGTACTGTCTTGGCCCTTCTCTGCCCACCAAATCTCGTGGGGGTTGCACCACTTTATCATCTTTTGGGCACACAAAGAACACCAATGACCTCCTCACTCTCTTCCTGTTCACTACTGCCCTATGCAGACAGCTCTTATACGCCCCGTTCGACAGTGCCTACATTATCAAAAAGGTTAGAGGTTCAAATCTTCTCGACCCACTGCTTAAAAACTCAAAAGGGTTTACCATAAAAGTGTCTCCAATGTTAATAACCAAAGCATCTGGTCTGGGCTTGACAGAGAGCCAAGTGTTGTTAGCGAACACTTCAAGGCCACCAACTTGGTCCTGATGGAGGATGGTGAGGGATGTTGGGTCGCAGTGAGGGCCTGTGCCGAAGGTCAGGGCGGCGTTCTCGCATGGTGGGTAGTAATTGCATCTCATAATGGACCTTCCATCTTCGAAGAACTTCCTGTAATGGAGCCGCTCTACGCCCAAGCTTATTGCTAGAAGCTCCATTATCATTAGCCCTGTTCTTGTCATTTCCTCGCAGTATTTTTGGTATACCCATCTTCACAAATCACAACAAAACTTATTAAATAAAAGACAAAACCTCGAAAGAACACGTGACACCTTAATCGAAGCTAACTCCTATGGAGTCTTCGAATAAAGTACACTCTTTGTTCGACACTCGAGGATTCTATTGACATGGGTAGGTTAAGAACATGACTTTGATACCATGTTAGGAATCACGACTTTGTACAATGGTATGATATTGACTACTTTGAGCATAAGCGCTATCATTCTCAACATCAGCTAAAGTGGGACTCCTACCGAACAATCCTCAACAAAAAAGAAAAAAAGTGAGGGGACGACAAACCCGGTTTTCTCGAAATCTTGTCCCAAGAAGGATTTGAAGTAATGAAGAACATGGAGGCGTTGAGAATCATCGCTACAATACTCAAAAGAGAAGGTTTCTTTCCAAGGCAGCTTGGAGCTGAATCGGTCAGCATGAGCTCCTGAATATCCACACACTCTCCCTGCCTTCTTTCCCACGCTTTTCTTCTTCCCCAATGGCATTTTGAATATCATCTCCACCTGTTCGTACGCCGCCCTTATCAGATCCGGGTCCACCCCATGGTTCGTCACCTGGAACAATCCGTGGTTCCTACACGCCACCCGGATCATCGCCGCCGCGTCCGCCGTCGCCGCCGCGTCCCCTCGTCGGAATCCAGCTAAATCTATCAATGGCTCTTGAAGCTCTTCTGGGTCGTCGACAATGGCGGCTAAGTCGGCGTGTGGCCAGACAAATTCGGTCGGAAGGTTGCCGTTGTGAAGCAGTGTCGGAGGAATTACGGCGGTGCCGGTGGAATCCATTTTTCTTTATATAATAATATATATATATATATATATATATATATACACATATAATTTCCTTCAAAGGGTTGGATTTTGCTTTAAATATACCATGGAATTGAACTGTACGGCGATGTGATTATGTGAATGTTGCTAAGTATCTATCTAGTCTCTATTATAATAATAAATGACTTCTTGTCTTCTTTTTTTTTTTTTTTTTTAATTAAATGAATAAAATGACACTTTTAATCTACTAATACATTATGTCTGTTTGTCACAATTGTACTAAAACAAGAGCGTACAAAATGTGACATGCAAGTGACACCTATCAAACTACGTGTGATCGAGAAAGACAAGTATCATAATGTGACCGAGGTCGTTTTCTTACCATTATGTTATTCTATCATTTGATATTACTTGCCGATTACTTATTTGAGTCGAGTCATGCATGACATATTCGAAAGTAAAATAATGTGGGATCAAACGAGTTTTTTTTTTTTTTAATATTAATACATTCTATTGAACTGGGTCAATATGAATATTTATCACGGGATTTTTTTTTTATGATTTAGCAGTAATATATTCAAGTCATGAATTCAAATTTATTCAATTTTATTGTAACATATTAGAATTAAAATCAAGTTATAATGTTTTTTGGAAGTTAATTATAATAATTTTCATATTTTATTAATTTTTAATAATTGCTGAAAATTATGGTTTTAGAAAAATCCGGTGTAAAATAAAGTATAATAATATTTGATATATTAATAATAAATTGATGTGTTTTAATTATTTAATTATTATAAGATGATTATTTAAAATTTATGTACTTTAAATTGTATTTAATTTTGTTTAATCTAAATTAAAAAATAATTTCATAAAAAATATATAAATATGGAAGGATAAATTTGAGATTCGTAAATGTCATAATTACTTTTTTACCCTTATAAAAACAATGTGAAGCAGTCCCTTAATTGAGAAACAAATTTTCTTGTAATAAAAAACAACTTAAAATTAGCTAATAAAAAAAATACTTATTAAGTTTATGTTTTATTATTTAGATTTAAAAAATTAAGAAAATAATATTTACATTTATAACCTCAATTTCTATTTATCCTTCTTAGATTAAATTATAAATTTAATGTTAAGGTTGGCTTTTATTTTATCAATTTTCGACATAAATTTTAAATTTATTAAATTATAATTATTAAAAGCTCATAAACATTTTGGTTGGAAGTACATAACTGTACATTTGGGAGTCCTGTTTTTTTTTTTTTTTTTTGTTAAAGAAAATTACCATTATTTATTTATTCTGAAGCCGCAAGTAGGAAATGAGAAGGGCAACATCGTAAAATCACTTGTTTAATTGATTCCAGCTGCTGGCTGCAACTGCAGCAATGTCAGTGTACTTTGTGTTTGTGGTCTCTTCTTAAACCATGAAGTTTATTGTTGATATGACCAAATTATCCCATAATTATATTAATTATTAATTCTCTCTAATTATTTATAATTAACCAACATAAAAATTTTGATATAATAATAAATAAATAAAATTTGCATTTTTTCTATTAACTTATCATTATAAATATCTAGTCGAAATAGTTTTATATAAAACTTACGTACGGTTCTAAAAATAATCTGAAACTAATTTAAAATAATCGAGATAATAAAAATAGGTCAGAATCATTTCTCAAATTTCAATACGTCCTTTAAATTTGCCCCTATAAAGGTATAATAAGAAACAAGAAAGCAAGTGAGTAGATTTTTTATGTCATTTTGTTGTTGTTTATGTGACGAAAAATCTAAAAGAGAGCTTAAAAGTACACTCCAATTATCCTTTCACCATTATTAATATCCACTCTTCTTCTTATCCTTTAATTCATCGATCCCAACTTAATTATTTCCGTTTTTTTGTACAAAAACTTTACTACACGTCTAATCATGCTCATACATTATATCAAATCTTCATGGATTACACTTTCAACTATAAACATCGATCGATTTTTGAGTTCTTTTCAATACACATACGTTCATAACTTAACTAATTGTGAGGTACGAGTTTTAAATTCTTTGTAATATTACTTATTTGTTGTGTTACATATAAATATAAGTTATTTTAGTATGTTTTATCCTTGTTCACAGTGTTTTTTTTTTAAATCTTAAGATATCACCAAATATAGAATTACTCAGCTAAATATATTTAACTTTGGAGTTCGTAGATTAAGTAATGACGGAAGAGAAAAGTGTATTTGGTTGGTATAGATAATAACTATGACATCATCATTAATACGGGTCGTATTTTTTATTTTTTTGCGGTGAAATTTATCCCTTTATATTTATAATATTTTAAATATTCCTAATAATTGAAATGATTCATTAAAATAAATGATTTGATTATGTAATTAATATACTACAACCATAAATTTATTATTTTGGTTTAATATTTAAAACCCAATTTCTCCATAATTTGTATCTGCCGTCATTTTCTGTCTTTATTATTTTTTGTTTGCATTTTATGTTTTGTCTTTTTGCACCATTATTTTCTTTTTTTTTCTTTTTTGTTTTATTGCATTAAAAAAAAAAAACATTTTCGATGTCTGCAGTTTGTTTTCTTTTGTTTCCTGTTTCTTCTCACGTTAAAAAAATATTTTTTTTTCTTATTAAATTCTTATGTTCTGATTAATATATAGTACTATGAAAAACTTATATATATTAAGTGACGCACATGGATACGTAAGTTTATTATGAGTGCATAAACAATAGATAAAGGATCTAAGGATACGCACATTGTTATCGACAAGTAATAGTGTGAGACAACGAACTATATAGTTTTGCGAGTCATGATTTTTTGTAATGGACGGGCTTCCAAGCGGAGGATTTAACAAGTGACAGTAAGAAGATATGTAAACTATAGGTAAAGGATCGAAACCTTAGACAGTTGGCCGTGTAAAGGCAGAAGTTGCATTTTGTGGCTAACTAGACGTGACAATTGAATGCATGGATGAGATATTTAACTTTTTTATCGTATAAAATTATAAAAATATAAACAAGTTTATATATTATAAGTGTTGAAATGACCTATTTTAAATGTGAGATATTCAAGTGTTCGTTCTAGCTTGTCACGAAGTAGAAGAAAAATCGGCGACAAGAACTAAAATAGCTCTCATATGATGATATAACATCAAATTGATGGCCGTGTCGACCCGACAACGAAAGGAAATGAAAAAAAAAAAGGAAAAAGAAAAAGAAAAAAAAAGAATCCAGTTGTCGTATTGTGGGCGCGATGGTACGAATTGGGGGAAGGGAGGGGGGGGG